ACATAGTCAAAGAGAGACGGGCATAAATAGATAGATAGATATGAACATACTACGATAGATACCTAAATCCATAGATACTGATATATATATATATATATATATATATAATTAACTGATTTAGATACTTATCCAGCTACAGCCTTTCATTTTTTTCAGCTTTACGCAGTTCAGTTATTGAATTTGATGTGCTTATTTTATCAGATTTTTTAAAGTTATTTTCTTTTACTATTCTTCATCCAACACAAAGCCCAAGATCGACTAAAGGTAAAGGGTAACTGAGTTTATTTTAAGGGCATACAGGAAGGGAACAAGAAGTACATATCATGAGGGTGTCTACTTTAGATAACGGTTGACCCTCGACTTGAAGTGGTTAAACATTATAGTGATCGAGAAAGCATCTTCCCAAGTCTCCGTTCCGCCAGGAAGCTGTTCTGAGCGGAAGTTCCTCCTCTACAATGGAATATTAAAGTAATGATGATGACTCGACTCAATTTAGATAGTCTGGTAGGTTCTAGCTCTGAAGGTCGAGACTGAAAAAACAAGGATTATAGTTCACTCAAATATTTACCATTAGCTTAAAAGCCGCGTTATCGGGTGGCATTTAAACTAGCTCCTGCAGAGGGATCTTGATTGAGCCTTCATCACAATGGGTAGGGAGGAGGAGATGTGATGAGCAACAATAAACTACAGAAGAACTCAAAATGGATCGTTGCATTTAAGTATTGCGTTAATATTTAAGTTTTCCTTTTAAAAGTTCAACGATAAGTCTTCTGTCGCCATTTAATTTAAAGACAATTTGATGTATGTAGGTCCTTACTTCTCGTACAATTATTTTTATTTTATGGATGACTTTCGCTCGATTTCGCATTTAATTTCGATTATTCCCAAATTTATTTCCAAGTTATAAAAATTGACGTACAGAAAAATTCGTCGCAGAAAATCACGTAAAAAAAGCGCCAAAAAAATTCGCAGTAATGAAAACGTGGGATTCCAAAATTTTGGATCCGGCCCGGGATGATTTTAATTTGTTCCCGGGGTCGGCCTGAGGTTAAAATGATGTCATATGTTCGGCTACTACCTGTAGTAGTAAAGTTGAAAAAGTGTCACACAGACATTCGCATTTTTATTATATTACTAGCAGCATGGCCAGGCGTTGCCCGTGCTTGATTCAAAAATCGTACGACTCATACAGCAATCGCTATCACTTGACTTAAAATATTTTTGCCCTTCCTTGCCTTTAAAGGAGTGCCCTTTGCCGTGCTGATGTTGCTACGTGTGTGTGTGTGTGTGTGTGTGTGTGTGTGTGTGTGTGTAACGAATTCACGCCCGCAATTTTCGATGGATTTGCACCAAAATTTACATGCACATGCTCCAAGTTAGCGGGAAGGCCGAGACCGACTTTGCATTTCTCAACTCCCATTTATAGTGGAAATAATCGATTTTTTCATGCTTCTACGGCAGTTTTCATGTAGTTTGCGACCACTTTCTACTGGGCAGAGTGAGAGCAAATAGCTGGCTGCCACGAATAGGCAGGAAGATTCTATTGGCCAGCGTGAGAGCCAACAGCTGACACGAATGTTAACTAGCATGCTAGCATGCAAAATGATCGATAGCCGCATTCGTCACAAGTGGGAAAAATTTAAATCTGCATGGCACTTTACTCCAATTGGCTCATTCGCATGCTTAAACTCAACATTGATTCTGATTCCGCAGAACTGTGTTGGGGATGAAAAAGTATTTGTTGTTAACATACTTTTTTCATTCAGTTTTTCCAGTTACGAGTCCTTTGTAAAGCTGATCGTTTTGTGTTCATTTTCTTTAGTTCTTTTTTCGTAACAGATTTAATGTTTAGTATACAGCTTAGAAAAAAAATTCGCAGTGTGAGATAGGCAAGAAGTAAGGCATGTAGCAACATCAGCACGGCAAAGGGCACTCCTTTAAAGGCAAGGAAGGGCAAAAAATATTTAAGTCAAGTGATAACGATTGCTGTATGAGTCTTACGATTTTGGAATCAAGCCTGGGCAACGCCTGGCCATGCTGCTATATATATATATATATATATATATATATATATATATATATATATATATATATGTATATATATATATATATATATATATAATCATCCATTTTACTGTATCAGTGCTCATGTGTATGGAGAGTCATGGTATATATATATATATATATATATATATATATATATATATATATATATATCGGTATTTTTCTTTCAGAAAACCGTTTTTTGAAACTTAGGAAAACATCTTTACGAATTATTTATTTTTAAAAGATAAATCCATAGAATATGTTATTATGTCTCATGGTCTTTTTTTTTTATTTCTTATTATGAATTTTAGTGTGCGGCAGAAATACCTCCCATATATACCTCCTAGAATTACCTCCTACATATACCCCTCAGAAATTCTCCATATATACCTCACAGAAATGCCACCCACATATACCTCGCAGAAAGACCTCCCACATATACCTCGCAGAAATACTTCCCAGATAATGGTAAGACGTTACTGACAATGCTGTCTTCATCTGGCTTATATCTTACCAGAGTATGTGGAAGTTATTTATGTGGCACCTTTTGTTACTTTATTTTGTTGATTTTGTTCGGTTTTATCTATAAACATTTATATATATATGTATGTATGTATATTCATCAACTTTTACTTCACAGAAATGTTTTTCTCGAAACAGTAGTCTGTTGCATTTTATCACAAATTTGTACAGACACGCACACACACACACATATATATACATATATATATATATATGTATGTATATTCATCACCTTTTACTTCACAGAAATGTTTTTCTTGAAGCAGTAGTCTGTTGCATTTTATCACAAATTTGTACAGACACGCACACACACACATATATATATATATATATGTATAAATATATATATATATGCGGAAGTATATATATGGTAAATATATAAATTAATTTCATTGAATAATTTAGACAAGTTTTGTCTACTTATTTTCAATTGAATCTTTTCATATTCACGGACAATCTTCTTGGTGTCATTATTGAAGTGTTATATTCCATACCTATGAACACTAATGGGTATATCCCAATTCCTCATCAATACGTTGGACACTATTGTAAGTGCGGGTAAGATGCTGTCTATGTAGTCCACCACCGGCAGCTGTTTACCTACTTCACAGTGCTGGCGAGTGTTGCATTTTGTTCATGTTATAAAAATTACCATTTCATTTCCAACCTCCATTTTTGTTATTCCTCATTCAATAACCTTTTTCAACAATGTCATCATCAGGGTGTTGTTTATTTCAAAACAAATATTGTTGTGTTCATCATTTTCAAAAACAAAAATATTGTGTTCAACTGAAAGTTATTTTTTTTTTACTTATGAAGTGAAGAACGCTGAATTGAGTGCTGTGTGATTGGCTTGTGTAACACTTCAGGGGAGGTAACTAAGTTATAGTTTTGTCGAGCGTTTTTTAATTACAGACCTAGATATTGAAAATAAGTAGACAAAACTTGTCTAAATTATTCAATCAAACATGTCTCAATGAAAACATGGTACCAAAAATACGCAACATATATATATATATATATATATATATATATATATATATATATATATATATATATATAGTCACATTTAATTATACATAATTTTCAGATATTTACTGAAATAATTTACGGAAATAATGGCTTAATAATGTACAGAATTTGACATAAACTTTAGCAGACTTACCGCAGTGTAAATAGCATTATGCATTTCTTGGAATTTTACATTATTCACCATTTTATTGAAACTTGATGAAACATAATGTTGTAATTAAAATTTTTAATTAGAGAACGTGTTCAAAGATAAATAATCTTAACAAAATAGTGAAAAGAGCGTCATTGTAATGTCAGTAATTATAAAAAGACAATATTAATGTGGAATATATACGGCATGTTCTGAAATTAGTTTTAGAAATTGTTAACACATTGATTCTGGGGGCTGGTTTATCTCTTCATATAAAACAGGATCCAGAATAGCATTCCAAATTTCTTCTTTGATAGTAAATTTCTGTCTGCCATGCACACAGAGGCACACTCACAAATACACACACACACACACACACACACACACACACACACACACACACACACACACATATATATATATATATATATATATATATATATATATGAATAAGTTTTTTAAAAAAATCGTATTGACAGGAAGACAACGGTGAAAAGCGTCAGCAAATATTCCTGTAGTTATGTTACAAGATCCTTGATGTTACATAATAGGTGGTCTTGTATGCTAGGAACTAGTGTGTGGGAGTGAAGTCTCATATACGATAAACCAATTAAAACTGAATGAGGCTGTCGTATTCTCATAGGTCGAAATCGACGTGAAAGTCCATAATTTCTGCACGCACACACACACATACACACACATGCACACACACACACATACACACACATATATAGGGTGCGATGGGTAAATTGTCGCCACATCATACAGGGTGACCCAAAAAAAACGGGAACTTTTAACAATCCAATAAAACCAAGAGTGATGTAAGAAAAATATCTTATTCATAGTTAATTGAAACCTTAAAATGTGTCATTTAAGAAACAATGATTGAATTTTCATGTTTCAAAAATTACGTCCTGTAGATAGCGTCCTCCTGTACGAATGCATTCTTGAAATCTGCTGTTGAGATTCCTCATTGACTGCTGCAACATCTCAGCTGGGATACTGTGAATTTCATCTTGAATTGTAAATGGCGAAATGTTTACTTGCTCAAGGTCACTGTCTCGCAGTGTTGCCACTCGCTCATGTCTGGCAATACGCACTTCAAAAATTCCCGTTTTTGGGGGTCAACCTGTATTTCTAATTTCGCGCGTGTGCGTCGTTTGTTTTTGATTTGTCGACTGCACAGTATAGTAGGGTCAGTTGGGCACCGTCTGTGAGAAATTTGGAAAGGGGCTGCTGTACTACTTCGCATTGGCAACCGGAAGCTACA